TGCCTCGTGCGCCAACACGACCTGCTCTCTGTGGCTCTCCGGGCCTTTCTCGTCTCACGCTACCCTGCCTGGACGGCCTTCCCTGCAAGTCCACTGATGGAGGGCTCCACCACGCCCAGCCTGCTGGTGTGTCAAGCGGCTCAGAGAACCACCTCCTCAATCAGCATTTCTGAGACCTGAGCCAGGAGAGTTCCCTCCTCCCTCCACTGCTTGTTCATCTTCATCAGCCCAGGTACAGAGAAGAACAGGAGTGACAGTCGCCACCTCACCATCAACGCCAGTGCCAGGCTCTCCTTTGCTCACACGCCTTCTGCATCCTACCCAGGCCACCACCACCGCCCTGACCCTAAAGCCTGCGGGCACGGAGCTGGGGTCCTCTAGGAAGCGCGGGCCCGGTTCACTCAGCGGTCCGTTCGCACAGCCACTCCAAACTCCAGCATCAGACTCTCGAGGGCACAACCCAAACATCTCTGTTCGCAGAGCACAACCCAGGTGCAGAGGCCAAGAAATCCTTTCACAGACATTCTGAGGTCCCGGGAACCCCACCCGCATCACCCATGTGCCCGCATCACCCATGTGCCCGCATCACCCATGTGCCCGCATCACCCATGTGAACATGACGGGGTTCTGATCCAAATACACAGTTCACGCCTCCACACTCTCGGGGTGAAACCACACCATCCACCACCTCTTTGGGAGACAGTGCTCACTGGAGGCATGGAGCACGCCGAAACCGAAGCTTGGTGGTAGTGGCAGGAGCTCGAGAGGACGGCAGCGAGGCCTGGGCCGTGTGCACAGTATTCTGCACCCTTGCAGAGCTGGGCTGCTCCCTGTGAATGCTGAGTCCCAGGACCCAACCCCACAAGATGAGGAAGATGAGGCCAGGGCGGCAACATAAAGCTGTCCCAGCGCTCTGAGCACTTAGCCACAGAAGAGCAGGAACCACCAGGAAGCGTGACCTGCCCTTGCGCCTTTCTGTCTCACCGCTGAAGGTGCACATCGGCACCCTGACACCCACCTCCTCAGGAGCTCAGCAGGACACGCCCACCTCAACTGCCAAACCCAGACTCTCCACAGGCTTCACAGACAGGTGCGTCCCCGCGTGTGAGCTCGGCAGTGTGGTGCTGGCCAAACACTGGCTTCAGCTCATCCTTCACTGGTGGCCGCAAGCCATGGTACCCACCCGGCCCTGCACACGGCACCAGAGCTCGGGACTGAGCAAGTGGGAGCAGACGCCTGGACACTGCCCGGACATCAAGCGTCTCGGAGCTGCTGTCGTTCAGCACCCGCACATGTCCGGGTTCACAACATGCTTCACAATTCACCAAAAAGAAGTGACCTGAATCGCCACCATGTAGTTGCTGAGAGGAAGGCAGTTTTGCTGGTTATGTTCCCATGTGGAATCCCTGCCGAGCTCACACCAAACCCACAACGTGAGCAGAGAGGCCGCAGCGCAGCAGCACAGGCAGCAGCGAGAGGCCTCACAGGTAGTGACCTGGGGACCAGAAGGTGGCCCAGAGCAACTGGCAACCAGGAACACGGTGAGGGGACCCTGCCCACCAGGGACCACTGAGGGTCAGACAGGTTACAGATGAACAGCCTGCCACACAGGCCAAGCAGTCAGGAGGAGCAAGGAGGCACGAGGATCAAAGGACGACGGCGGCAGGATGGCAGGAGTTGACACGCATCCTGCACAGCACGGCCCTGCCTCACCATTCACTCCACCAGACACTCCTGTGCCTGCTGCAGAGACAGGAAGCTGACTCAGGAGACTCCTGACTTGTTGACGGTCACAAAGATAACACATGGCAAAGCCTGAACTTGACCCCGGATCTGTCCAAGTTCACATTCGCTGGGCACACCCTAGAACTCGGCGTCTTCCCCCACACTGCAGGACAGGAAGTACTTCCTAACACCTCAGAACCCAGCAGCACCTGCCAATACTGCAGGACAGGAAGTCTGCACTTCCTAACACCCCAGAACCCAGCAGCACCTGCCAACACTGCAGGACAGGAAGCTTGTACCCCAGGAAACTGCATCACCCCCCACACTGGAAGGCAGGAAGTCTGCACCCCAGGAATCAGCATTAACCGCACACAAATAAAATGCAGGGGTTTAGATTTACATCCCACTTTCCTGTTCACATTTGGAATAAACCACAGTTGGAAGTAACATGCCCCAGCAGTGCTTGCAGTCAGGATACCCGAATACCTGACAGGCCTTACGGACGCCAGGACAGAAATCCTGGATTTCTGGGGGTAGAACGTGCAGCCACACTGAGGTGCTGCCTGCAGACAGAGGCGCAAAGAAAGGGCCGGAGGGCGGAGAACAGGCCACGTGCGGGCAGCACCCCGTTCCCACCTCATCCCCATGTGGGTGGGTGAGCACACAGGGGTGGGGGGCACAGGGGTGGGGGGGGGCACAGGGGTGACGGGCAGCATTACCTTTTTCCCAGTCTGCTTCTCCACCATGTCGCTGCTGAGGGGAAGCTCTTCCTGCTGTGGTGCTTTAGGGCACCCGCCCTTGGGCATCGTCCTGCTCCTCACCCGATCTTCATTTACACGGCCGGCCCTTCATCATCAACCGTCTGCTTCAAAAGAGAAAACGCACAAGTCACTGAACGCAGAGGCAGCACCAACTCATCCACTCTCACACAGACTCAGTGACTGGTCAAGGCAGGCAGCTGTTCTCATCAGGGCTGGGGCCAGGCCCAGGCCCAGGAAGGGACTCCTCAGGATGCGCATCCCATGAAGGGGTCGCCAGCAACAGGAATGGCAGCTTTGAGCAGGAAGGAGACAGAGAAGGGTCAAGCACTTCGTGGTGGCAGAAAGGGACACATGGTCTAGGGTGTGGCTGTGCTCTGGGTGGCAGCCAGCAGCACCTGGATCCTGGGTCCCGCCTGGTACAGAACGCACCCAGAACGGTCAGGCGCCACAAGGCAGTCCCTTCCCCGCAGCACAGGCAAGGTCACGACACGCAGTGCAGTACCCAGCCCTCAGGTCTGGCAGGTCACGTCCACAGCCTCAGCCTCACAGTCCACTCACCACCTGGGAAGGAGCTCCTGTCCCCACCAGGCCTATGCTTTCTGCACACCCAGTTCCTAACTTGGTGGGCCAGGGGTGTCTCTGAGGGAGTCCCGGCAGCTCCGAGGTCCCAACTCCTCGCCCATGGAAGCAGACGCCCCCCTGGGCCTCAGGCTCCAGCTCCTGGGTTTCCCAGGAAATCTGAGGACACATACTGTATAAATCATGTTTTATTTGTATTTATTAATCATGTTTTATTTTAGGAAATTTTGGCATCTTAAGAAGTTTCTGGCCAGGGAGAGACTGCCCCTCTCAGGGCTGGCAAATTCGTAGACAGTCAAGGGCTCCCATGCAACCCAATCACATTCTTACCCAACTCCACACCCAGGCCAGGCCCAGCCTGAAACCCTGAAACCAGTGCAAAGCCAGGTAAAGGAAACTAGAAAGCACGCCTACAGCACAAAGCCTGCAAGAACTTTCCAAAGTAGCCACTCCCAAACTACTCGCTCTGCCCCGTCACACTCTTCCTGCAGAAAACCCAACAGGCAGTTGGGGGAGGCCTTCCCCGAGCCCCTGCTTCCGACTCCCGGCCCCCGTGGTTGAGGCGGCCCCTCTAGGACACGCAGTGCCAGCGCACTTCCTCCTTCCCAGCCTCATCCTGGTCTCTTCTGTGGCGGCACCAACTTCACCACGCCACACCTGGCACGGACCCTTTTAGAGCACGGGCCTCCTCCCTGCCTGCAGGCCTTCCAGGTTTGTTCACCATCACAGTCAGGCCTCCCAGGTGCACTCACAAGAGGAGTGGGGGACACACCTACGCCCCCATGCCCAAAGCCACTGTCCTCCCGTCACGTCCTCACCACATCGTCAGTTAGAAAACATCTCATACAAGGCCGGGCGCGGTGGCTCAAGCCTGTAATCCCAGCACTTTGGGAGGCCGAGGCGGGCGGATCACAAGGTCAGGAGATCGAGACCACGGTGAAACCCCGTCTCTACTAAAAATACAAAAAATTAGCCGGGCGCGGTGGCGGGCGCCTGTAGTTCCAGCTACTCAGGAGGCTGAGGCAGGAGAATGGCGTGAACCCGGGAGGCGGAGCTTGCAGTGAGCCGAGATCGCGCCACTGCACTCCAGCCTGGGCAACAGCGTGAGACTCCGTCTCAAAAAAAAAAAAGAAAAAAAGAAAAAAAGAAAACATCTCATACAAACTGAACTGCGTACGCATCTCCGCTCTTTTCGCCACATCAGCACCTCCGTGCATGACCGTGCTGGGAGAAGCGGCTTCTGCAACTTGCTCCCCCTGTATTTACCCATCTCACTCATGCAAAGTGTGGCTTTTGAAACACGATGTGCAGACCCATCTGTGAGCCGCAGCTCCACTCCGAGCCTCTGCCACCTCCACCCTGTCAGCTAAAGGTTAGGCCGTGTGCCACCTGCCCCTGGATGCAGGCTTGGGCGAGACCACAAGATGCTTCTCCTCCAACACCATCTCACGGCCTGCTTTGTCTTTCCAAAATAAATGATAAAATCCCACAAAGTGCTGTCTTGGTATTTAACTGGCACAAGAACACATCTAAAGTTATTCTGGAGAGAGGGACAGGTCGGGTCAACGTATTCACTGCCTGTCGCCTCCACCCGCAGTGCAGGTGAGCAGGTGTTTCCATCTATCATCCCTGATGGCTGAGGCCAGAGATTTTTTTCTCCCTCTACCTGAACCTATGAATTTTACATTCTCTTCCAGTTTCCCACCACAAAGCTGGAACGTCTCAGCCTGGAGAACTGGCATCTCAGCACCTGACTCAGGGAAGGCTGTTCAAACGTATGGCTGTCTAGAAGCTCCGTGGTAATGTTTAGAAGTTTAAGGGTTATCACGAAGTAACGTTTTAAAAAATCCAGACTGCCTGTGCTCAGGATGGATAAATGGGGTCTTCACCCTGGTACAGTCCACTGTCCTGATCCCAAATGTGAGTCTGTGGCCCATGGACACGCTCAACAGCTCTGGTGTGGTCAGGAAGGGATGGCGTCTGGGCCCCACACTGTGGGGGCTTATCACTTCACTCCTGAAACACCCGATTCTCTCCATGTCCCCAGCTTGGTGCTATGCCCAGGCACCTTCCCCGACGGACCAGGGATCTGCGAGTCCACTCAGGAGGTAGAGGAAGTGGGCGGCGCCCACCAGGCAGAATACTTTTCACGGCCTGCAACACCGTGAGCACTCCAGGGGCTCGGAGTGTGGTCCCAGGTGGACGCTGTGTTTTCTGGAGGTTTCTCCAGCCACCTGCATGACGACAGCTAAGACCATCCAGGTTGCTGCCCTTCCAGGACCCTCATGCCCGCCTGGCCTTGGCTACATGTTACCGATGGCAACGATGTGCTTGAGGCCCTGAAACCCCAGCCCCCACCCTCCATGAACCACCACCCTCATCACAGTCATCGGCATGGTGACAGCTGAGATGTGCTGCTGAAGCATCTGGGTGGATGTGGATGAAGCTGGTTTGGATGTAGCTGCCATCTAGACCATCCTACACCTCCCAGGACCCGTCTGCAGGCACCAGGCGTGCAGCTCGCGGCCCACTCTAGAGTCTTTTCCAATGAGAGACCAGATGAAGACAGAGGCTCCAGTTGCTTTTGTTCTCTTCCAAAACTGGCCATCCCAGTCCTCCCAGAAGTTACCCTGGTGATGCCTCTGGCACCTCTGGCCCCCACACTGCCCTGTGTTCCCTCCACCGGGCTCAGGGCTGGTCAGCCTCGCCCCTTGCCAAGAAATGGCAGAGCCAGTCGAGGGCCGAGGCACCGTACTCAGCCGTGCCAGTGACTTCTCCCAGGGGCTGCACGGCACTCAGGAGTCAGGACAACAGGCTCTGCTGACTCGTGGGCGTTGTCTGAGGGTGGGGGCTGTGGCGACGCCCCCGGGCCTCCCTGGCAGAGCTGTCACATAAAGCAGTCCGAGAAGCTGAGAGTCCCCTCTTTAGACAGTTCTGCTGCTGCCCGGGCCTGGCCCCTGTGCCTTCTCATCACGATGCCGCACAGCTGACCACACAGCAGGTCTCCCTCCCGGGAGAGATTCTTCCCTGGAAGGTGACTTGGCTGTCCCTGCCTAGACTCATTCTAAGTGCAGCCTAAATCTCCCTCATTTCCAAGTTATCAGGCAAAGTCTATTTTAAACTCATGACCCTTGAGTCAGCAGGAGACTGAAACACGCCTCGGGGCACTGGGGCTGACTCACGCCCTGTGGCCAGCAGCATGGGGGGCCGGGCCCACTCCCTCGCAGGAAGGGAAACGCAGAGCCAGCACCCGGCCCTGACCAGCCCCAGTCCACGCATTCCTTGTTACTTCACCTCTTGACAGCAACAGTCCCGGCTTCGTGGACTGCCAGGGTCACCGAGAGTCCAGGGTGGCAGGAGTCCCCCACACGAGCCACCGGCACACTCCCTGAGGCAGAAGCCACAGCACCAACGCTGTGGGCTCAGGGAACTTGCCGATTACCTGGCAGCCCCGCGTCTGTGCCAAAATAAAGACACAACTCAGCCCAGCGGAGTGGACGGTGTCTGCGGCCAGCTCTGGGACCCAGGGGCAGCAATGCTGGGCACAGCCGTCCTTGCCCTGTCCTCTCCAAGCTGCGGGAGGCCCTGCGGCCCAGAGGGGCTCCGCCTCCCCTGCAGTGGGGCTCGAAAGACAATCCTTCCACAGACATGACAGGAACAACGATGCCCTGCTCCTCCCTGAAGGTGGCTTCGAGAGCACTCAGGGGTGAGAGATGCTGTCAAGACCGGCCCAGGGAAAGCACAGGGCAGGTTTCCCAGCACCCACCACGCGCCAGCAAGCACAGAGTCTTCGCCTAAACCATCCAGGCACCGCGCCCTCCCCCTCCGCACCCAGAGGAACCCGACTGCCATTCCCTCCACTCCACAGGAGACGCAGCGAGCACCAAAGGGCCTTTCTCCGGGACCAAGCCTGACACAGAAGGGGCTGCACCAGGACCAAGCCTGACACAGAAGGGGTTACACTGACTACTGCAAGGTCAGTTTAGCAAAACCCCAGGAATTTCAGCCTATCTGGTCTCTTCAGCTGACAAGTGAAGAGCAGCCACTTGTGGGGAACGCGGAGCTGCCTCTCCCAGGCTTCTAAGATTGGAGCTGGGCCAGGACGACCCTGAGACACCTGTGCGGCGAGCAGGACTCCTGCAGGGCCGGGGGAGGAGGCTGTGGGGCGGGGTGGGGAGCGGGGAGCTATGGAGCTCCTACCCAGGAGCACTCCTTGCCAGAGGCCTTGGCATCACCAGGGAGTCCGTGGACCATGGAGATTCACAGGTCCTCGCAGGCCTTCTGAACCCAAACCTGCACTTTAATCATGTTCTGTTCTGCACACTAACATCTGAGAAGGACTGCACCAGAAAAAACTTGTAATGACGCAATTCATTCTGAAAACTCACAGAAAAAAAAAGACTTCTTTGGGTTTGCACTTCCCCTTCAATAAAGGGATGGAATGTGAGTAGAGCTGCCCTTGCACAACCGGGCTCTGGGTCTGCGCTGCGTGGGTTCACTTACACCAGATTTTCTTCCACCCCTGCCTCTCCTGAGACCGCAAGACCCATCTCTACTTTTCCTCTTCAGCCTCCTCAATGTGAAAACGAGGATGACGAAAGCCATTCACGCGCTGCTGCTGCGCGAGGCTTAAGTCTATTTTCTCCTCGTGATCTTAGTCTTTTTGCGTCTCTAGCTTGCTTTACCCTAACGGTAAGAGTAGAACACATGTAACATACAAAATGTGCGTGACTGGCTTTATGTGGTCAGGAAGGCTCTGGTCAACAGAAGGCTGTGAGTTGAGTTTGGGGAAAGTTAAAAGTTATACACAAGTTTTCAACTGCACGGGAGGCTGGCGCCCTCAACCCCTGTGTTGTTCAAGGGTTCGCTGTAATTTGTATTAAAACACCAAGCCCCCTTCCACCTGGGTAAGTCTCTCTCCCTGAACAGATGTGACATTACCCTCCAAAGACTCCCAGAGAGAAAGAGAACACTTCAAATTCAGATTTGTCTTCCACAGTATATTGATAGAACAGGGCTTACGTACGTCCTGGGCAAATGCTCCTCTCCTTATGTAAGTGAACAACTCCACCAACCACTAGCTTGTGTAATGAATGACCAAACGTTTACATATCAAATGGTGCCCAAAGCCCCTGAGAAGGGATGTGATTCAGCTCCTCCCCTCACGCAGGCACGTGGCCTCAGAGGCCCAGGAGGAGGAAGACAGGGAAGTCAGCAGCCAGGTGAAAAAGGCGAGGGAAGCCCTTCAAAGGAAGCTCTCCAAGAACCTTCAATCCCAGCTCCAATTCCAAAGACAGGAACACACTCGTGATTGAGAGGATCAAACACCAAAGGCCTGTTTGCCTTGAGGGGGATACTGGGGAGGGTGGGAAAAGGGGAGTGAGGAATAGCTGGAAGCAGCAGTCCTATGTGGCACCAGGGGCTTGCTCCCACCTTGGCCCTGGGCACAACCCCGCATGGTGATCAGGCCTGGCCCGCCTGCAGCACACGGCCATGCTCCAGATACCTTATCTTTATCTGAAGAGTTCTTTTGTATGTTTGTTTGAGACAAGGTCTGGCTGTGTTGCCCAGGCTGGAGTACAACGGTGTGATCACAGCTCACTGCAGCCTCCTCCTCCTGGGCACAAGCTATCCTCCCACTTGAGTCTCCCAAGTAGCTGGGAGTACAGGCCCGTAGCACCATGCCTGGCTAATTTTTGTATTTTCTGTGCAGCTGGCTTTCGCCATGATTCCCAGGCTGGTGTCTGAAGGATGCTTTACAGCAACCCCTGCCTTTTCCAGCCGAGCCCTGCGGGCTGTCATGCACTCTAGGGAAAGGGAGGAGCGCGTTCTCCAGGGGCTGCATCAGGAGCGGTGCCCTGTGCACACCTCAGAGGGAGAGAAGACGCCAACCGACTGAGCAGAGAAAAGAACAAAATGAGAAAAGGAAAAAGAGCTGCATACCTTGCAGGCCTACTGTGTGCAAAGCCCTTGAGTGACGTACCCCATGACCCACAGCACTGTGGCCACCCTGGGTGTGGAAGAGAAGCACCACTGGCCTCTCACCTCTCACCATCTCAGTGGGCAAGGGGAGAGCAGCCGAGGGCAGGGGCTGAGCCGAGGGCAGGGGGCAGAGCCGAGGGCAGGGGTCACAGCCAAGGGCAGGGGGGCAGAGCCGAGGGCAGGGGGCAGAGCCGAGGGCAGGGGGCAGAGCCGAGGGCAGGGGTCACAGCCAAGGGCAGGGGGGCAGAGCCGAGGGAAGGGGCAGAGCCGAGGGCAGGGGTCAGAGCCGAGGGAAGGGGGGCAGAGCCGAGGGCAGGGGCAGAGCCCAGGGCAGGGGCAGAGCTGTGGGCAGGGGCTGAGCCAAGGGACAGAGGCCCTCCCAGGCACCGCCTGACAGTCTACATGAGCGTCTCTGTGTCTGTCCAGCCTCCACACACCCCTGCACGTTCTGAAGAGCCCTCCCCAAGAGTCCAACTCTCCTTCCTCCTCAGGGCCACACCAACTCCCCTCCTCCTCCTGCTTCTCCTCCTCAGGGCCACACCAACTCTCCTCCTCCTCCTGCTTCTCCTCCTCAGGGCCACACCAACTCCCCTCCTCCTCCTGCTTCTCCTCCTCAGGGCCACACCAACTCCCCTCCTCCTCCTGCTTCTCCTCCTCAGGGCCACACCAACTCCCCTCCTCCTGCTTCTCCTCCTCAGGGCCACACCGACTCCCCTCCTCCTCCTGCTTCTCCTCCTCAGGGCCACACCAACTCTCCTCCTCCTGCTTCTCCTCCTCAGGGCCACACCAACTCCCCTCCTCCTCCTGCTTCTCCTCCTCAGGGCCACACCAACTCCCTCCTCCTGCTTCTTCTCCTCCTCAGGGCCACACCAACTCCCCTCCTCCTCCTGCTTCTCCTCCTCAGGGCCACACCAACTCCCCTCCTCCTGCTTCTCCTCCTCAGGGCCACACCAACTCCCCTCCTCCTGCTTCTCCTCCTCAGGGCCACATCAACTGTGGGGTTCCAGCTATCACTTTGGGGAAAGGGCTCCTAACATGGGTGTCCTCCCTCTCACCCCATAAGCCACACTGGCCAAGGCCAGGCGGGTACCACAAACCAAGGGGTAGAATCTCTTTGCTATGGTCTGAATGTTTGTGTCAGCACCCCCCAAACCCCAAAACTCACAGGTTCAAACCAAATCCCCAGTGTGCCCGGCTAATTTTTATATTTTTGGTAGAGATGGGTTTCACCATGTTGGCCAGGATGGTCTCCGTCTCTTGACCTCATGATCTGCCCACCTCGGCCTCCCGAAGTGCTCCCCACCCTCTGTGCTCCAAGGCACACAGGCTTTCTACTGCAGCCCCGTTTTCCACTTACATTTTCTGTTATCACAGGGTGGGCAGAAGCACCAAGAGGGCGTTCAGCATCTCTGGCCTCTGCTTTGGCCCCTCACACACATGCTTGGTCACTAGGCTGTGGAACATAACAGAGGCCCCTTGCTCCAGAAACACGGACCACCTGACAGGAGCGTGGACACAGGAGGTGGGGCGACGTGGTGCCTCACAGAAGAGAGAAAAAGCCAGGAGGGCGGCAAGTGGGCGCAAAGTTCTCAGCTTTGTTAAGTCATCAAGAAAACGCAAACTAAAACCAACGTAAGTGTAAGGGTTACTACTGAGTGTCAACTTGACTGGACTAAAGGATGTGAAGTACTGTTCCTGGGAGCGTCTTGAGGGAGCTGCCAAAGGAGATTCACATTTGAGTCAGTGGACAGGGAGAGGCAGACCCTCCCCTCCATCTGGGTGGGCACCATCTCATCAGCTGCCAGCACGGCTAGAGTAAAGCAGGCAGAGGAACATGGAAGGACCGGATTGGCTGAGTCTTCCAGCCTCCATCTTTCTCCCATGCTGGATACTTCCTGCCCTCAAACATCAGACTCCAGGTGCTTCAGCTTTTGGGCTCTGGGGCCTACACCAGTGGTTTCCCAGGGGCTCTCAGGTCTTCAGCCACAGACTGAAGGCTGTGGCTGTTGCTTCCCTACTTTTGAGGTTTTGGGACTCAGACTAGCTTCCAGGCTCCTCAGCTTGCAGATGGCCTATTGTGGGACTTCACCTCGTGATCGGTGATTCAATACTCCCAATAAACTCCCCTCCATGTATACATCTATCCTATTAGTGCTGTCCCTCTAGAGAACCCTGACTCATACATTCAAGTACTGGTGAAGAGGTGGAGCAAAGCAAACTGGTCCATTCTCATCAGGGCCAACTCACGCATCTGGAAATCTCTACTCACAATGAACACAAGTGTGCCCTATAGCCCAGCAATGCCATTCTGGACACACACGTCCAAAAGAAAGGCAGGCGCACACACACGAGAGACACGTGCAAAATGCTTCACAGCAGTGGGGTTTGCAGCGTGTCACTACGATGCGAGGATGGAACACTACACAGCAGAGGAAGCGAAAACATCACAACGTAAGTCAATCTCACAAATAATGTTGAAGAACCCTGTCTCTACGAAAAATTTAAAAATTAGCTGGGTGCTGTGGTGCACGCTGGCAGTCTCAGCTACCAGGAAGGCTGAGGCAGGAGGATCACTTGAGCCCAGGAGGTCGAGGCTGCTGTGAGCCAAGATCATGCCACTGTACTCTAGCCTGGGCATCGGAGCCAGACCCTCTCCCCTCTCCCCTATCCCTCTCCCCTCTCCCCATCCCTCTCCTCTCTCTCTCTCTCTCTCTCTCTCTCTCTCTCTCTCTCACACACACACACACACAAATAATGTTGGGGACAAAATACATGATACATTTACATAAATTTCTGAACATAGCAACTACAGTACTTAGGGATTCATACTCAGTAGACAAGACATCATCGAAGCATGGAAAATGGCTGCTTGGTGGATGGAATTGGAAGTGAGGGTGAAACAGGGGTTCTAAGTGAAGGCTGCAGAGGCATTTGCTTTGTCGTCTGCTGAGTTGTACATTTTTACTGTGCGGACGTTTGGGTGTTGTGCTGCATTTCAGCTGAAGCAGTGTTTCAGAAGGTGACAGACATAAAGGCCACACTATGTCCTTGCAAGGCCTCAGAGTTGTCACTGACCTTTTGCTGCAGGACCTGTTCTCAGGGGTCCTGGCCTCCTAGAGGAAGGAGGGCCCCATCGCCCTGCTAGGCCCTACTGGGACCCTCAGGGGCACGAGCATGATGAGGGGGCAGCTTGAGGCTTCCTGCCACGTCGGGCAGGCCTAGTCATGCCTGACACATGCTGCAGGGCACCCACTGCAGAATGCAACAGGGAGCCTGGAGCCTACCGAGGAGACACACACAGCTCTGTGAAGACGGAGGGGAAGAGGAGCAAGGAAAATGCTCCTTTTACACAGAAGGCACCAAGATACAAACTAAACGTGATGAAAACAAAGAAATGTAGGCGTGTGTGTTAAAGGTACAATTGCACAGCTAAAAAGAATCATGGCCATAAGGCAGGGACGGCAGATGGAGGGTGACTCAGCAGATATCCTCTCAGGCTTGGAGTGTGGAAATAAACACACGGAAGTGACCAGCAGAGAGAAACACGCAGGGAAGAGGAAGGTTAGAAAGGTCAGGGGTGTCACGCCCCGCTGCTGGGAACGCAGAGGAGGACGGCCAGCAGAAGGGGACGCAGCCACCCCACCGCCGACCCTGCAGCATGAGGTGCACCCCACCCAGCAACCAGCTCCCAAATTACACCAAAAGGGCCAGGCACGGTGGCTCATCCCTGCGGTTCCAGCTACTTAGGAGGCCAAGGCAGGGGGTTCATTTGGGCCCACGAGTTTGAGACTCGGGCAATGTAGGGAAACCTCATCTTTACAAAAATATTAAAAAATTAGCCAGTCGAGGTGGCACACACCTGTAATCCCAGCTCCTTGGGAGCCTGAGGCGGGAAGACCCCTTGTGCCCAGGAGGTCGAGGCTGCAGTGAGCTGAGATCGCACCACTGCACTCCAACCTGGGTGACAGAGCGAAACCCTGTGTGAAAAAAACCCAAACCCCAAACCAAAAAAACACAACCAGGGCATGAAAAGGTGCTTGGCCCAGAGCAGTGCCCTGCAGCATCTCCTAAGAAAGGGGCTGAACACAATGCCACTCGCCAGGGGCTGCTGGTGGCATCCGGGCACATCTGCCCGTGGGGTTCACAGGACGAACGAGGTTCCGCAGACACATGGCCAGGTGGAGACGCAGAGAAAAGCGGGTGCAGCAAGAAGTCTACTTGGAAATGCAGAGGAATACCTACGCTTCTGTTAACAGTAAAATACGTAAGGCTAGCTCGACCAGCAATCAGTGTTACCCACCATGCCAGCAAGCTAAAGAAGAAACATCATCACAACTGGTGCAGAAAATCACTTGATAAAATTCAGAACTCATGATAAAAATTCCTAGCAAACAGGAGTGTGGAGAAACATCCAACACGGGCCGGGCGCGGTGGCTCACGCCTGTAATCCCAGCACTTTGGGAGGCCGAGACGGGCGGATCACAAGGTCAGGAGATCGAGACCATCCTGGCTAACATGGTGAAACCCCGTCTCTACTAAAAAATACAAAAAATTAGCTGGGCGAGGTGGCGGGTGCCTGTAGTCCCAGCTACTCGGGAGGCTGAGGCAGGAGAATGGCGTAAACCCGGGAGGCGGAGCTTGCAGTGAGCTGAGATCCGGCCACTGCACTCCAGCCTGGGCCGCAGAGCGAGACTCCGTCTCAAAAAAAAAAAAAAAAGAAAAAAAAAAGAAGAAACATCCAACACGATAAAGGCCATCTACCAAGAGCTCAAGGCGGACATGATCAAGAGTGACGTGCTGAGGGCTGCAGACGGAATAACATACAGGGTGGAAAGGAAGAAATGGAATAAAACTGTCTCTCTCTGAAGACGGCGTAAGTGTCCATGTCGAAAATCACAAGGAATCTATCAAAAATTCCAAGAAACTTTATTTAATAGAGTTCAGCAAGGACACAGAATCAAGATCAACACACAAACACCCATCCTATTTCTGCAATAATCATGAAAACAAGAAATAAAGACACGGTACCATCCTATTTCTGCATGCTAGCAACGATCATATGAAAACAAGAAATAAAGACACGGTACCATCCTATTTCTGCATGCTAGCAACGATCATATGAAAACAAGAAATAAAGACAGTACCATTCTATTTCTGCATGCTAGCAATAATCATATGAAAACAAGAAATAAAGACAGTACCATCCTATTTCTGCATGCTAGCAACGATCATATGAAAACAAGAAATAAAGACAGTACCATTCTATTTCTGCATGCTAGCAATAATCATATGAAAACAAGAAATAAAGACACAGCACCATTTACGGGTGCTCCAAATAAAAATAAAATGCTTAGGTTCAAATGGAACAAAACTAGAAAAACCTATACAGATTTTAGGAAAAAACAGGAGAAAATCTTTAGGACCTAGGGCCAAGAGTTGTTAGACATGGCACCAAAAGCACAATCCATAAAAGAAAAGAACTGATAAACTACCTCGACAAAATTAAAAACTTTTGCTCTTCGAAAGATCGAGTTTAAAAAGTGAAAAGACCAACTGCAGACAGGGGAAAATATCTGCAAATCACAAGTCAGATACTAGGCTTGTATGTAGAAGAAATAAATATCAAACAACAAACACGAATTAGAAAATAAGAGAAAAGACACAGACATTCAGAGGAGGACAAGCCACGAAGACGCTCGACATCCTAAGCTGTTAGGGAAATGCACCTTAGAACCGCAGTGAGATATTACTGCACACCTGTCCAAATGGCTAAAATACAAACTACTCGAGGATGCCGGAGAGGATGCAGAAACGCTGGAACCCTCTCGCTTGCTGTGGGAAGGGGAAGTGGCGCTGCTGCTCTGGAGAACAGCAAGTCCGCCTTCCGAACCTAAGTGTGCGCTTGCTACCCCCTCAACAACTGCACCCCAGGACATTTACCTGAGAAAACGGAACCTTCATGTGCACATGAAGACCTGTGGACAATGTTCATAGAACTTTTATTGACAACAGCCAACAGGGAAAACTCTTCAACAGTGTCCTCCAAACTGGGTTTCGTTCACACCACGGCGTCCCCTCAGCAGCAGAAGCGAGGGCTATGGATACACCCAGGAGCACAGGCCCCTGCTGACTGAGTACACAAAGCCCATCGCGCAGGTCACTCCCTGTGGACTCCACTCCCACAGCTTCCTCCAGGAACCAGGGGACAACAGGTGAGGACTCCATGAGGAGGGCTCATGTCTGCCGTGGCTGTCAAGGAGGCTCTAGGACCCGGCATCCAGGACAAGACAGGAGGATCTGGATCAAGTGTGCAGGGCAGTCACCCTGTCTTCCAGGGTCATGTTCCCAGCCACTGGGGGAAGGTGGGGAAGGGCACAAGGGATGCTGCTATTTTTGCAACTTCCTGTGAGTCTATAACGATTTCACAGAAAAAAGGAAAAAAGGCGGGAAAAAACACAAACAAGGGGTATAAGGAAACTCCCATGGGTGATGGAAATACTCTATACTTTTATGTGGTGGTGTTTCCCCACCAGTATACATTTCCCAAAACCCGCTGAACTGTACATTTAAAATGGGTGAAGTTTACACTTGTAATTCAATAAAGCTGTTAAAAAATTAACTAGTAACAGAAAAGAAATTTAATTCCCATAGAAAGACAGAAGGAATAAAGTAAAAAACAGCGTGAAGCAGGAGGTGAAAGCTCCCTTCAGAAGGAATAAAGTAGAAAACAGCATGAGGC